GACACACCTGTCATGTCTACATGATAGTGACACACCTGTCATGTCTTACTCAAGATAGTGACACACCTGTCATGTTTTCTCATGATAGTGAGACACCTTTCATGTCTTCTTCATGATAGTGACACACCTGTCATGTCTTCTTCAAGATAGTGACACACCTGTCATGTCTTCTTCATGATAGTGACACACCTGTCATGTCTTATTCAAGATAGTGACACACCTGTCATGTTTTCTTCATGACAGTGACACACCTGTCATGTCTTCTTCATGATAGTGACACACCTGTCATGTTTTCTTCATGATAGTGACACACCTGTCATGTCTTCTTCATGATAGTGACACACCTGTCATGTCTTCTTCATGATAGTGACACACCTGTCATGTCTTTTCATGATAGTGACACACCTGTTATGTTTTATTCATGAGAGTGACACACCTGTCATGTCTTCTTCATGATAGTGACACACCTGTCATGTCAAGATAGTGACACACCTGTCATGTCTTCATGATAGTGACACACCTGTCATGTCTTATTCAAGATAGTGACACACATGTCATGTCTTCTTCATGATAGTGACACACCTGTCATGTCTTCTTCATGATAGTGACACACCTGTTATGTTTTCTTCATGATAGTGACACACCTGTCATGTTTTCTTCATGATAGTGAGACACCTGTCATGTCTTCTTCATGATAGTGACACACCTGTCATGTCTTCAAGATAGTGACACACCTGTCATGTCTTCATGATAGTGACACACCTGTCATGTCTTATTCAAGATAGTGACACACCTGTCATGTTTTCTGCATGACAGTGACACACCTGTCATGTCTTCTTCATGATAGTGACACACCTGTCATGTCTTCTTCATGATAGTGACACACCTGTCATGTTTTCTTCATGAGAGTGACACACCTGTCATGTCTTCTTCATGATAGTGACACACCTGTCATGTTTTCTTCATGATAGTGACACACCTGTAAATTCTTATTCAAGATAGTGACACATCTGTCATGTCTTCTTCATGATAGTGACACACCTGTCATGTCTTATTCAAGATAGTGACACACCTGTCATGTCTACATGATAGTGACACACCTGTCATGTCTTACTCAAGATAGTGACACACCTGTCATGTTTTCTTCATGATAGTGACACACCTGTCATGTCTTATTCAAAATAGTGACACACCTGTCATGCATCCTTCTAAAGCATACGTCTGTCATTTCTCCTATTCAGAGGTGAAGAACTCATTTCTTCCCTTCATTCTACTGTCATTCTTCCCTTCATTCTACTGTCATTTCTTCCTTTCATTCAACTGTCATTCTTCCTTCATTCCATTAATACTGATGGTTTCTCTAGGATCAACAACAGCGTGTTACCACTCTCTAAATTTACTCTTGCAGATGTACTCCTGTGTTGTACTACCTGTAGATGTACTCCTGTGTTGTACTACCTGTAGATGTACTCCTGTGTTGTACTGCCTGCAGATGTACTCCTGTGTTGTACTACCTGTAGATGTACTCCTGTGTTGTACTACCTGTAGATGTACTCCTGTGTTGTACTGCCTGCAGATGTACTCATGTGTTGTACTGCCTGCAGATGTACTCCTGTGTTGTACTACCTGCAGATGTACTCATGTGTTGTACTGCCTGCAGATGTACTCCTGTGTTGTACTACCTGCAGATGTACTCCTGTGTTGTACTACCTGTAGATGTACTCCTGTGTTGTACTACCTGCAGATGTACTCCTGTGTTGTACTACCTGCAGATGTACTCCTGTGCTGTACTACCTGTAGATGTACTCCTGTGTTGTACTACCTGCAGATGTACTCCTGTGTTGTACTACCTGCAGATGTACTCCTGTGTTGTACTACCTGCAGATGTACTCCTGTGTTGTACTACCTGTAGATGTACTCCTGTGTTGTACTATCTAAAGATGTACTCTTGTGTTGTACTATCCGTAGATGGACTCTAGACGGTGAAGGAACGAGGAAGGGGGGGGAGGGAGGGAGGGGGACCCTGCTTCATATTATAACAATCTAAACTATCTAGACAGAAATAGAGGTAATTAGACTGTAGTTAGGCCTTGTTAGCAGTCTGCCTGACCCAGGTCTCCTGCAGTGTGTACTCTGACGTACTCCTGTCTCAGTCGTCCTCAATAACGTTGCAATATTGTTGGTGTAATAGCCGATGATGTTAGGCGAAAGGGTACATGTGCAACTGATGTGACATTTTTATTATGGCAACGTTTCGCTCTCCAGGAGGTTTGTCAAGCGAAACGTTGCCACAATGAAAATGTCGCATTAGTTTAGCCCTTCAGTTTCAGGGCGAAACTGAAAGGTGAAACTGAGGGGCGAAAGTGACTGGACTCCTGTTATTGTTGTACGTCAGGGCGCATTATTATTATTATTAATTATTATTATTATTATTATTATTATTATTAATACTGCTATCATTATTATTATTATTATTATTATTATTATTATTATCATCATCATCATCATTGTTACCGTGGTCATGCAGTGCCTTGAGAATGAGAAATAACCCGGTATGATCTGAGGAAGGGGAAGGAAGCTCAGAATCCTTGGATCAAGCTTTTAGTCCTCCCACTGAAGTGAGCCTCAGACTGTATCGCCCGACACAGTCCAGTTGACACTAGTGACTCACCACTGTGTCTTGATCACCGTATAAAATACTGACAAGGTGATGATTAAGACACATGTGCAACAGTTGGGTATCTTTATTGTTGGAACGTTTCGCCCATACAGGTTTCTTCAGTTAAATACGGAAGCAGCGGGCGTGGAAGTGAAATAATGTAATCCAACAGTCCCTCACAGCCTTGAGAACAGTTCGGCTCCATGGCCTGGAACGATATGAAGATAAAGCATGCTTCAGCTGGAATATCGTTCCAGTCTATGGATCTAAACTCTTGTCCAGGCTGAGGGACTGACCACCTCAAATACCATTTCTCCAAGGTTGATGGACTGAGTACATCATCTTCATGTTACTACTACGCCTTCTGCCTGAAGGCGCCTGAAGAAACTTAATGTCTACGTGAAACGTCTTAACCCTGAGGGGTCAACGCCCCCTCCCCCTCTGAGCCCGGTCCCAGACCAGGCCTCACGAAGGGGTTCGGAGACAGCCAGGGCGCACAACCCTACCCTCGCTATGCCCTAGAAGTATACCTGGCTACCCTAGAGGTATACTAAGCACTTAACCCCTGGAGACACTTGATCGTTATACCACTGGGTAAACCACTTTCCACTTCACCACTTAAGGAATGTAATCACTTAGTAATTGATTATTAATTTGTCAAGGGAATCGCCGGACGGATTATATTAAATATCGCCTTACATTTACTGTATGCAACAAGAAGTGAATAATAATTTTTATAACACGTTACTTTAAGAAGATAACTGGAGGAGATTTAATACTGACGGTGAAAGATAAGGCGTACAAGGAGAGACAAGGTGTACAGGGAGAGACAAAGTGTACAGGGAGAGACAAGGTGTACAGGGAGAGACAAGGTGTACAAGGAGAGACAAGGTATACAAGGAGAGACAAGGTATACAAGGAGAGAAAAGTCGTACAGGGAAAGACAAGGTGTACAGGGAGAGATAAGGTGTACAAGGAGAGACAAGGTGTACAGGGAGAGACAAGGTGTACAAGGAGTGACAAGGTGTACAGGGAGAGACAAGGTGTACAAGGAGAGACAAGGTGTACAAAGAGAGACAAGGTGTGCAAGGAGAGACAAGGTGTACAAAGACAGACAAGGTGTACAAGGAGAGACAAGGTGTACAAAGAGAGACAAGGTGTACAAGGAGAGACAAGGTGTACAGGGAGAGACAAGGTGTACAAGGAGAGACAAGGTGTACAGGGAGAGACAAGGTGTACAGGGAGAGACAAGGTGTACAATGAGAGACAAGGTGTACAAGGAGAGACAAAGTGTACAAGGAGAGACAAATCAATGGGAAACTAGGAAGAAGGCAAGGGGGAAAAAACACAGTATTAGTAAAAAACAGTAGAGTTCTAGCAGAATACACTGCTCACAGTACTACACAGTTCCAGCAGTGTACACAGTCCTACACAGTTCCAGCAGTGTACACAGTCCTACACAGTTCCAGCAGTGTACACAGTCCTACACAGTTCCAGCAGTGTACACAGTCCTACACAGCTTAAGTGACAGATACACCAGTAAGACAAGTCCAGCCTTGATACAACATGTATGAGCCACAGTCTGCCTGATACCCCCACAATTTTCGACAGCCCGACCTGATACACAATCTCCCATTTTCTGTACGGGGCTTGGACAAAATAATATGAACACGCTATTATGTAATATTTTCTTATTTTTAATATGGAGTTGGTCTTCCATTTGCAGGTAAAACAGCCCGGATGGCTTGCCAGAAAGTACATAAAGTAAGCAAGTCGGCCTGGCTGGCTACCATACCTCCCCTCAGTTCATCGAGGATTTGATTCTTACAGAATTTGAATAGTATCCAGGGAAATTTTGAACTCCACAATCAAAACCTGCTCTAACTCTTCTAAAGACGACAGTGGAGGAAGTCGGTTCCTGACTTGCTGTTCCAAATGACACTAAAGATGTCGATAATATTTAGATCAGGCGATTGTCGGGCCAATCCTGTGTTCGACTTCACTTTCATGTTCTTCTTGCTAATTTTGAACAACTCTAGCAGTGTAAATTGGTGCATTATCATGGAATATAACACATTCAACAAAAGTAACACATTTAAATTGAGTATTCAGTCATTCAGCACAAAGGAAGTCAGAGATTAGCACTGCTAGAGCCCTCTTCTCATGCTGTTTCACAAACAAGATAGCGCTAAAGACACTGAAGACAACAGATACATCAAACACGGCAGTGAAATTAGAGGACGGCGGACCGAGCCCCCACCACAGCTTTGCATTATGTGACTCATTACGGGTTGGGTTATTGATGTGTTTTTATTATTTAAATTTTTATTTTCTGCTTCAGGGCCGACGTGAGACACCCGGGATGGCCGGCTGGTGACGTCTCCGCTGTCCCACAGTGGCCTCCACCACCCCACAGTGGCCTCCGCCGCCCCACAGTGGCCTCCCCCGCCCCACAGTGGCCTCCACCACCCCTCCCACAGACGCCCCCGTCATGCGGGTGGCAAGCACCAGGAGCAAGAGGAGGGTGTTCTCTCTCCTGCTGGTGCTCCTGCTGGCCCACCTGCTGCTGCTGCTGCTTCTACTGCTGCTGCTCCGTCGGGGTGTCTCGCCATCCTCCGCTGCTGCTGATGCTGCTGCTGCCGCTGCTGAGTCCGCTGCTGCTGCTGCTGCTGCCTCTACAGACATCGAGGTCTCTCCACCTCTCCCCCACACCAGTATTCTTGGTACGTTGGACGCACAACATGACTTGATAAAGCTCTACACAGTGAAACATGACTTGATAAAGCTCTACACAGTGAAACATGACTTGATAAAGCTCTACACAGTGAAACATGACTTGATAAAGCTCTACACAGTGAACAGACTTGATTAAAGCTCTACACAGTGAAACATGATTGTAAAGCTCTACACAGTGAAACATGACTTGATAAAGCTCTACACAGTGAAACATGACTTGATAAAGCTCTACACAGTGAAACAGACTTGATAAGGGCTCTACACAGTGAACATACTTGATAAAGCTCACACAGTAAACATTGGTAAGCTTCACGGAACAACATGACTTGATAAAGCTCTACACAGTGAAACATGACTTGATAAAGCTCTACACAGTGAAACATGACTTGATAAAGCTCTACACAGTGAAACATGACTTGATAAAGCTCTACACAGTGAAACATGACTTGATAAAGCTCTACACAGTGAAACATGACTTGATAAAGCTCTACACAGTGAAACATGACTTGATAAAGCTCTACACAGTGAAACATGACTTGATAAAGCTCTACACAGTGAAACATGACTTGATAAAGCTCTACACAGTGAAACATGACTTGATAAAGCTCTACACAGTGAAACATGACTTGATAAAGCTCTACACAGTGAAACATGACTTGATAAAGCTCTACACAGTGAAACATGACTTGATAAAGCTCTACACAGTGAAACATGACTTGATAAAGCTCTACACAGTGAAACATGACTTGATAAAGCTCTACACAGTGAAACATGACTTGATAAAGCTCTACACAGTGAAACATGACTTGATAAAGCTCTACACAGTGAAACATGACTTGATAAAGCTCTACACAGTAGAACATGACTTGATAAAGCTCTACACAGTGAAACATGACTTGATAAAGCTCTACACAGTGAAACATGACTTGATAAAGCTCTACACAGTGAAACATGACTTGATAAAGCTCTACACAGTGAAACATGACTTGATAAAGCTCTACACAGTGAAACATGACTTGATAAAGCTCTACACAGTGAAACATGACTTATAAAGCTCTACACAGTGAAACATGACTATAAAAGACGACTCACAAAAGCTCTACAAACAGCGAAACCTTATTCCGACAGCAGCTTGTACTCACCTAGTTGTGGTCGCAGGGGTCGATTCATAGCTCCTGGCCCGCCTCTTCACTGGTAGCTACTAGGTTACTCTTCCTGCTCCGTGAGCCTTATCATACCTTTTCTTAAAGCTATGTATGGATCCTGCCTCCACTACATCACTTCCCAGACTATTCCACTTCCTGACAACTTTGTGATGAAGAAATACTTCCTAACATCCCTTTGACTCATCTGAGTCTTCAACTTCCAATTGTGACCCCTTGTTGCTGTGTCTCATCTCTGGAACATCCTGTCTCTGCCCACCTTGTCGATTTCTCTCAGTATTTTATATGTCGTCATCATATCCCCCCTATCTCTCTTGTCCTCCAGTGTCGTCAAGTAGATTTCCCTTTAACCTCTCCTCGTAGAATATGTCCCTTAGCTCCGGGACTTGTCTCGTTGTAAACCCCTGCACTTTCTCTAATTCCTGACGTGCTTGCCTAGGTGTGGGTTCCAAACTGGAGCTGCATACTCCAATATGGGCCTGACGTACACGGTATACAGATTCCTGGACGATTCCGTACCGAGATGTAGGAATGCTGTTCTTAGATTTGCCAGGCGCCCATATGCTGCAACAGTTATTTGGGTAATGTGCGCCTCAGGAGATGTGCTCGGTGTTATACTCACCCCAAGATCCTTTAGTTGAATGAAGTTTGCAGTCTCTGGCCTACTAGACTGTACTTCGTCTGCGGCCTTCTTTGCCCTTCCCCAATCTTCATGACTTTACAATTGGTGGGGTTGAACTCCAGGAGCCAGTTCCTGGATTAGGCTTGCAGCCTGTCCAGATCCCTTTGTAGTTCTGCCTGGTCCTTCTCCGATTGAATTCTCCTCATTAGCTTCACATCATCTGCAAACAGGGACACTTTGGAGTCTATTCCTTCCGCCATGTCGTTCACATATACCAGAAACAGCACCGGTCCTAGGACTGACCCCTGTGGAACCCTGCTTGTTACAGGCGCCCATTCTGGCACCTCGTCACTTACCATGACTCGCTGATGTCTTCCCGTCAGTTATTCCCTGATCCATTGCAGTGACTTTCCTGTTATCCCTGCCTGGTCCTCCAGTTTTTGCACTAATCTCTTGTGTGGAACTGTGTCAAACGCCTTCTTACAGTCCAAGAAAACACAATCTACCCACCTCCCTCCCTCTCTTGTCTTACTGCTGTCCACAGTCATAAAACTCCAGTAGGTTTGTGACACAAGATTTCCCGCCCCTGAAACCGTGCTGGTTGTCGATGATAACCTCATTCCTTTCTAGGTGCTCCACCACTCTGATAATCTTCTCTTGTTCTCATTGAAGATATCCTTTGTTCCCGCAATGGTAAGCATCTAATAGCGTAGACTAGCAAATCCTCTGGAGAATTGAAAGCACCATTTATCGTCAAAAAAAAAAAAAAAACTTACAGGATCAATTCCGGGACTTAAAAATTTTAAGAACTGTCTTAGGTCCATATCACAGCTATGTCCAGTGTGTGGAATCCATCGTTAACAACAACACCACTGAGGAAGGGTCGTCACTCCGAACTTCAGAATATCCATAATACACTGATACACATTCGTGAACACATATCCTACATGTGATTTTAGATTTAGTTTCTGCGCCTTGTCGTGTTTGAACGTAGACTGGTAGAGGTGTTAGCACCAGATCGCGTGTCAACAACTGCGCAACACAGACGGTGTGCCGTAGCGTTGGGTGTTGGTAACTTGCACTCCGTCTGGTGTGCTGGACTCCAATTCTGCACTATGTGGAGTACACTTCACAAAGGTGTTTGCCTCTGCATACTAAGTGGATTTCGTAAATTGCCCAGGGAAATTAGCAATAGACCCCTGGCTGCCTTCAAGAGGGAGCTGGACAGATACCTAAAGTCAGTACCTAACCAGCTGGGCTGTGGTTCATACGTTGAATTACGTGTAAAAGCAGTAACAGCCTGGTTGATAAGGCCCTGATCCACCTGGAGGCCTGGTCAAGGACTGGGCCGCGGGGGTGTTGACTCCTGCAACACCCTTCAAGTAAACTCCAGGTAGTACTGACTGTGCTTTGTGTCTGACTGCTTTGCTGGTGTCCACACACGGTGTGGAGAAATTTTCTCCAGGAGGGGGGTATCAGCCCCTGCTGCTGTTCAGCAAAAGTATTTGGGCATAATGCTGTATGATGCATACCCTTGCATTTAAAACCCAGTGTAATCTACACCTGTCACCTCAAATGGAGTGATATGACAAACTCTTTCAGAGGGATATGGAGGTGGACCTGGATACTGACATACTCGCATATCGTAGTGACGACAAGTAATACAGTCCTTTATTTGTTTTTTCACACTTTGTCGACCTTGAGGTATCCAGTAGGATTGTCGTATATGACAAAGTGTGTCAGCTACCCCACCATGTAACACGTTACTGTGGGCGTTTTGAACAATCAGTTTTGTTAGCCAATGATTCTTGGGGATCAATATTGGATGTATGGCTTCTTTAGATAGTGAAGAATTATGAATTCTTCCTCGACATCTTATAATCTTTTCGGAGTCGATATAAAGTCCTAAAGAATTAATCATGACAGGTTTCTTTGGGGATTTATCTTGTGCTTCCAGAAATTTATATTCTGTAGAGAAAACATCTTTCTGTATTAGTTTCATCCAGTATTTAATGGGTTCAAGACATTCATAATCAGGTTTTATTCCTTTAATGAATTTAAAGACAAGAGCTGTAACTCTTAAGAGTTTACCCAAAGATGAGTATTTAGATCCATTAATGACTATTTCTGTTGTGTCTGCAGTATTTACACAACTTATTTCTGCTGTGTTCAAGCAGACTGTTTCTTCTGGCATAATGTGAGCCTTTTGCTGAGGCCAGTTATTTTCATTAGAGAGCCAGTTCGGTCCGTGGAGCCATAATTTATTATCCACAAATTTCTTGAGTGGGACACCACGTGACAACATGTCAGCTGGATTCTCTTGGGTAGAGACGTGAAGAAAGAGATAATCTCTCTGCATCTCTTTTATTTCTGCTACTCTGTTCTGTACATAGACCAACTTACTCTTATTATTTCTTAACCACTGGAGAACTGCTTCATTATCACTCCAGATCACGGTTTTTTTCAATATTGAGATGATCAAGTACTTTGTTGAGATAGACAGCTAATTTTGTACCTACATAGAGTGCTGTCAGTTCCAATTGTGGTACTGTTCTGAGTATGATATTATCATAGACAGTCAGTAGCTCTGGATTCTTCCTGAGCTCATGTATTTGTGCTTTCATCTGTCTTTAGCAGGACAATTAAGGAAAATCCTGCTCCCACTTTATTACCATGGTAAAGATAGTGGACATGGTTGTCTATGTTTAAGACAGCAAGAATCAAACATTCTGCTTTGCTTCATCGAGGAAGTGGCAAGGAAGCAAAAGTACTAGGTCAGCTTTTTTTTGTGCTAGGGGAGTGATGGCGTGGGGTGCTGTGGCGTCTTCAGATTACTTTTGACTCTACTGAGAGTGACACTGACGCCAGGATAACCAACAAAGAACGATCTGTGCGTTAGTGTGAACAAAGTGTCTCATAAAACACAATAAACACTTAAGAGAAGTGTGATCAGCTTCTTTAGTGATAAGATTGTGAACAATCAGCTGCAACAGTGAATAACAAGTGATTCACACAGACGGTTGGTAGTGAGTCCCTACTACTGACACTGGTAACTGGTTACTGGTACTGGTACTACTGAGAGTAATAAGATATTATTCTCCAATTACGTATGTTTATTTTGAGTATTTCTCATACAGACTATATATATATTTGTTCAGTAAAGATAGGTGCATTTTTACTCTTCTTATTTTACCAGTTTCTT